TGAAGACTGGCATTCCCGTCTGGGAAAGGGACCCTCTGTGTTACACATACGACTGTGTAAACCACGGCAATTGCCATGAGCCATTCTGGCATGGGATGTCCTAGCAGGGGGATTGTCTGGCCTCTCCTCTGCCCTATGGGTATTCTCACTCCAGACACTTCTGAGGTGGCCCCGTGAGCAGAGGGAGGGCTCCGGAGGGCCCAGGACCCTGGGGTGCTGGCTGGGGAGGAAGGTGGTGACGTGGGTGCTTCACAGGCAGACATTCATTAACCACCTGGCTCAGGAAACGTCGACACCCAGAAGGTGTTTCATTCTTTTCTCAATATTGCTAGACTAGGGCACTCACAAAAGTCACGTGATGAGTGTTATCACTGGGATGAAAATGTTCTCCTGTGCAATTTGGAGCTAAACTTTTCAATGGTGTAGAATCTCATTTTACAAATATGTTTTATCCTTCTTTAAATGATGGATGGGAAAGACAAAAGTAGAAAGGCCAGGACTTTTCCAGCACTGGACAGCCCCAGATGGGGGCCTGCAGGAAACCCCGGGGCCGAGGGTGGGGTCTTAGACCCCTGAGTCCCTATTGGCACTGTGTACTGTTCTAACTTACCAACCCTTGTGTTTTTAATTCTTGCCCCTGAGGGATTTGCTCATTTTACATACTGATTAGTTTATAGCAGCAATGCTAATTTGCACTGACATTAGGGATTACACATTGAGAATTATTAAATGTAAAGGGAACAACATTGTAGAAGGAAGAGGGAGCATGGCTCAGAGGAATGAAGATTTGAAAGATGGAAACCTGTCCCTTGCTTCATTGCTGAGCACAGTGTGTCCTGGGGCGATCACTCAGCTGTCTGTGATGGCTTTCTATACCCAGAGTCAAAGTCTGAGACAGAGAGAGGAGTTTTGGTTAATCACACAGGCTTTTCTTATGGATTAAGTAATGAGTGTGATTAACAATAATGTGGAGACTTCCCAGTTACCCACCTGTAGCTCCTCTGTAGCTAATTTTCAATTCTATGTTGATTTCCTTCAATAACTTCCATCCTGACCCAGATGGTATCTATTTAGGAAATTCAGGAAACTCTTAATATTTGCATAAGCAGAGCAAATTGGGAAATAAATTAGTGCAAAGCAATGATCTAATGCAATAGGAAGCTGAATATAAACGACTTCTGGATTTCCTAGGCCACAGACTCATTAGATCATTTAACAAATATTTGCTAAGCCCCTACTCAGTGCTGGGCACTGGGGACAACAACATGAGATGAGCTCGGTCTCTCTCCTCTGAGGCTCACTGTCTAGAAGGAGCGGCTGTGTGAACAGGCTGAGCCTCTGAAGCCGTTAAGAGGAAGCACGTCCCATTCCCACACACATCAATAGCTGGTGATGGTTTCATTCCAGAGACTTCCTCTTCCAATACATGTAAAGATCCTCAGAAACATTTCTTCTTCAATTTCTGTTACTCTGTATAGGACAGTGTGTCCACAGGACATGAGCACAGCGTTCATTTTCCTGATGCAAACTTTGAGACACGAGGGATGGTAAACCAAGCTCCCGGAGGACAGAGGTCTTCTGTCTCCTTCCCTCTATGACCCCAGAGAGAGGGTGGGGAATTCGGTGCTGCCCAGTGGTCATTTGTTGAATAAATTTGATCCCATAACCAGCCATATACGGAAGGCATTGTCATCATCATTCTCATTTTAAAAATGAGGAAGTAAGGTTCAGAGAGGTTAGGTAAGTCCAAGGACACACAGCTAGGAAAAGACAGAACTAAGGCTCAAATCATGGTCCTCTGCCTCCAGGTGCTGAGCCCTCCCTGTCATTCTCAGCTGCCCTTGTTGAATAGTGAGCAAGGGGGCTTAATCAGTGGATGTGGGTGGCACATGACTAGATGCCAGGAGGAAACAGGAATGTATAATCTTGCTGTGAGCCTAAAGGGTATATGTGTCCAGGAAAGGGCTAGAAAGTGGGAATCAGCTTGATGCATCACTGACTCCTCAACTCTGCTTCTTGCTGCTATGTGACCAAGAGCAAATCACTTAATCTCCCTGACACTCTGCTTCCTCACTGACAAAACTGTAATAATATCTTCCTCTCAGGTCTGTAATGAAAAGTGAGTGTGATAAAAATGGTAATGTCTGGTGTACAGTAAATTCTCAATACGTACTAGTTTTATTTTACTATTATCAGTTTAAAAATTTTTATTAGTGCTACTCTTATTATTTGCCTTTAAGCACATGAAACAGAGAGAGTAACAGGTCTTAAAATGTTACAAAATTGTGTGGTATGTTACACTAAGTAAGCATTTTCCAGGATTATTCAGAGAATTCCAGGAATAGAAGCAAGGCCACTTTTCCCGTAGCTGCTGTTCTAACTTAGAAAAGCTGAGATGACACATTTTCTACCATTGTTTCTAAAAATATTAGGGCTGCTTCAATGCAGGGCTCAGTTGCTCACTTATTTCGTAAGTGCCGCGTTAAGATTTGGGAAGTGGGAGAGTCGCTTCTGCCTTTCAGCTCCTTCGGTAATTGGTTGGAGCCTTGGGCTGAGCATTTATCCACTGCCTTGTATTTTCCTGTCAGTGAGTTTGTCTCCCCTGTTCTGTGCAGGAACCAGGCCTTCTTACTGCTGGGTCCCCAGCACCCAAGCACAAGCCATGGCACATTGTAAGGGGGCTTAGTGATGACTTTTCTTTTTCTGAATGAAATGGGGTAGGAGTGAAAGGAAATGAACAGAGCACAACACGTATTAGGATCAGTTACTCATTTTCTTTTCTAGGAAACGTGGAGGGAGTGAGACCCTGTGCGAATGTACAAATTAGAACATGCAGCTTCATGCTTCTGCTTGATGAGCCCTGGAGTCAACACGCATGTGGCAGCCAACTTCTAGCTGTGTGGAAGGAGAGGAGGGGACAGGTTTAGTTTATGCCACAAACTGTCAGCAGCTATAGATACCTGTGTCTCTGCAGGGGAAGATGCCGTTGATCATTAACGTATGAGTGAGATTCATTTCCGACACAGACATGTCCATTTTGTCCAAGGGCTATAACAGGTTGGCTATGTTAAAATATTTAATAGTATAGCTACTTAGTGTATGTAGTAGAAAATATTTTTATTATAGTTATAAAAATAATACATGCTCACTATAGAAAACTTAGAAAATAAAAGATGGGCCAAAAGAAGTAAGCCCAGCACCCAGAGATAAGAGCTGATAGCATTTTGGTGGGTATTTTCGTATCTTTTATTTTATATGTGTGTTATTTTTATAATAGTTGTTCATATTACCATAATACCCGCTTTAAAAAACAGCACTGTATAGTGAACATTTTCTATGCAGTTATGTCGTCTTTGGTGACCTAATTTCAGCGGCTGCATGGCTCTCCTGACGGTTGGCTGTGCCATGGTTTATTACTCTAGTCCTCATTTGGGGCTGCAATTACTGTGTTTTCAGTTTTTGGATACTAAGAAAAAATGTGGTATTTTCGTAGATAATCTTTGTGTGCATCTCTGATTATTTGTGTACAATGAATTCTTAGATGTGGGAATGTAAGATCCAAAGTTATGTTACATTCTAAGTCTAGTTCCTATCCCCTACGCTCATCAAGGAATTATGGTTTATGAAAACTTTTGCCAGTTTGCTAGGTGAAAAATGATATTTTATATGTTTTGAATTTGCATTTAAAACCATTTTTGATGATAAAACATTTTCCTTAACCTTTTGTAATTCCTTTTTATGAATTTCTGATAGGTGTGCTTATCTTTTTCTTCTTAATTTGATAGAACTCTTGAAATTAGCAATATTTTTCTCTTTTCCTGACCCATAAGTGGCAATATTTTTCCCACCTTGTCGTTTGCCTTGTGATTTTAATTGATGCTGTTTTCTTAGACGTAGTTTCCTTGAATTGTTGACATAGTTTTCTTAGGGTAAATTTTTTTCTGTCCACTGCATTGAGTTAGAAATTGAGTACCTTAGGGAGGAATGTATCAACCTTTAATGATCAAACCTGCAAGTTTACAAAGACAACTCACCAGCATGAGGCTCCAGCCTGTGCTGCATTTTCATCAGCACGGCTTTCACCAAATATGCCATCTCCTGCAAGAGTAAGAGGAAGCCAAACAGGTGTTCAGTGGTTTTTCACTGTCTTTTAGCAAAACCTTTGCTGAGAAGCTTAGACGCACGCATCTGCAAATCTGCAAAAATCAGACCTCCTTTTAATCTCCACAGCCAAGGTCAACTCTGGAATTTTGCTCTCTCTGGGTGGTCAAGGCAGTGCTGTCTAATAACATTATTTTATTTAATTAATTTATTTTTTTGCTGAGGAAGATTGGCCTTGAGCTAACATCTGTTGCCAATCTTCCTCTTTTTGTTTGAGGAAGATTCGCCCTAAGCTAACATCTGTGCGCATCTTCTTCTATCTGGTATGTGGCATAGCCACTGATGAGTGGTGTGTGTTCATGCCCAGGAACCGAACCTGGGCTACTGAAGCAGAGTGTGCTGAAGTTAACCACTAGGCCACGGGGCTGGCTCCCAATAACATGATTTTAAATTATTTAGTAGCCATATTTAAAAAAAGTAAGAAGAAACAGGTGAAATTAATTTAAAAATTATATTTAATTCAACCTAGTATATCAAAAATATCATTCCAACATATAGCGAACATGAATATCATTAATGAGATATTTTGCACTCCTTATTTTCATACGAAGTCTTTTAGATCTGGTGTGTATTGTATACTTTCAGCACGTATAGCTACGTGTGGCTACAGTACTGGACAGTGCAGGTCCAACAATAGCAAGTTGGCTATGGGAAAAAGCAAAAGCCTCCACAGACTGTCATTAAAACAGAAATTTACATTAGGGACCTCATGCCTATGATCCTCCTAAGGATAAGAACAGCTGGGGGCCCCTTTGTGAAATTTCTTTCTCTTAACATTCTTGTACACCTGAGGATTTCGCTTCTCCGTATCTGTACCAATAGGTCTGTTTTATTTTAAGCGCTGGCAGTGACGAGCCCCAAACCTCACGCAGAATGGAGCCGAACACGTTGGAACCCACTGCTCAGGACAACCTGCGTGTGTCCATCACCAGAAGAGACTGGCTTCTGCAAGAAAAGCAGCAGTTGCAGGTAAGCAGGTGAAGAATCTTCAAGAAATAGGACAGCATTTTTCTTACCCATTTTAGCCAAATGCAGCAAAGTGGGTCTTGGCTTTGCCTGAGTGTAGCAGTTAGAGCTTTGGCTGTCCAGCCATGCGGTACAAAGTGGAGACATGGGTGGAGATGACTAGAGGGCTTGTAGGAATCTCATGACAAACGAGGGCTGGAAATCTCAGCAGCATTTCCTCCTGCTTTCCATATCCCTCATTACCTTTGAATGTGCTTTCCTTGTCTGCCAGGCCAATTTGTCACCTCTTATCATTTTGACCTTTAGAAGGTTCTTTTGCAAGGCTGAAAGAAATCTGTGCCGTGAAAATTCTTTATGGAAATTCCTATCAAGTCAGACTGTGAGTAGCAGTTGTTGGGGGCAGAGCTGAAAATACAGACTGGGTGAGGCAGGCGCATCTGGGAGTGACCAGCAGGCATCGCATGGGAGCTCCAGACTGGCCCAGAGCAGTGGATGAAAATTGGCCAAGAATCGTCAAGGGGCTAGAAATCTAGGTGCAGCCCCGCGTTGAAGCCAGGAGGCAATTAGGATCTCCAGAAGTCAGCAGGACCCCTGAGGCAGGGAACCTTGAAGCAGCTCCACACCTGCTTGAGCCTGGAGGCCTGAGGTGGGAACAAGGAACAGTAAGGAAGCACTGACGGAGGCAACAGGACTTCTGGAAAGACCAAAGGTCTTTAACACCCAAGTCCAAACCCTGGCTTAGGCTCTAAATAGCTGAACGAATAGACAAGTCTACGGTGGCTTGGACAAGGTACTGGAACCACCCCCCATCCCCACCCCCTCATTCAAGTATTCTTGTTATCTGAGTGTGTTATCCATCCAAGTCCCTACAATAGCAAAGTGGCAAAGGGAAGCGAAAGTTATCACAATTTGAAAATATTCTCCAATAAGCTGAGCACTTATATATTCAATGAGGATCATTGTAAAGTTTGGATAGCTGACAATATGAAATCTGGTTTTTGGTTTTGGACGATATTCACCAATTAAAGATCTACACAATTCCTAGTGATGTCAGAGCGTAAAGAAAATAATTTTAGCCCAGGGTACTTACTGTTTGAAGGGCGCTCTGGGGGAACTCTGGGGGAAGGTGGATATTCGTTTGTTCAGCAGGGATTTATTGAGGGCCTACCATGTGCCAGATACTGTTTGAGTTGCTGAGGATTCCTGTGGAGTTTATGCTCTAGTGAGGGTGGGAGTGGGGAAGTAGACAAGATGTGACAAACGTAATAAATACCTAAATCATAGACCTGCTATGTTGTAGGGTGGTAAGAACTAGAAAGCATAGACTAAGGTTGTGGGGTAATGGGGTCAACTAATTGAGAAGCGAGGTTGAAGCAAACACTGAAGGAGGAGAGGGGGTAGGCCTCAAAGAAATCCCTGGTCAGAGCGTAGCCAGCAGAGGGAGCAGCCGTGTGAAGGCCTGCAGTGGGAGTGTGCCTCACGTGTTCACGGGGCAGCCAGGAGGCCAGGGTCAGGAGAATAGTAGAGGAGAAGGTCAGAGATAAACGGGGCCTTGTAAGGACATGGGCTTTTCTCTGATTGGAATGGGAAGCCATTGGAGGGTTTTAAGCAGCAAAGTGACATAATCTGGGCATATTTTAAAGAATCACTTTGACTTCTGTGTTAAGAATACAGTGTAGGGCCACTGTGGAAAACAGTACGGTGATTCTTCAAAAAATTAAAAATAGAGTTACCACATGATCCAGCAATTCCACTTCTGGGTGTATGCCCCAAAGAACTGAAAGCAGGGCCTCAAAGAGATGTGTTCATAGCAGCATTATTTGCAATAGCTAAAAGGTAGAAGCAAGCCAAGTGTCCATCAGCTGGCAAATGGATAAACAAAATGTGGTCTATCTATACAATGGAATGTCATTCAGCCTTAAAAAGGAAGGAAATTCTGACACATGCTACAACATGGGTGAAACTTGAAGACATTATGCTAAGTGAAATAAGCCAGTCATGAAAGGACAAATACTGTATGATTCCACTTATATGAGGTCCCTAGAGTAGTCAAATTCATAGAGACAGAAAGTAGAATGGTGGTTGCCAGGGGCTGGGGGAAGAGGGGTAATGGGGAGGTGGAGTTTAATGGGGACAGAGTTTTAGTTTTGCAAGATGAGTTTTGTGTATGGATAGTGGTGATGGTTGCACAACAATGTGAATGTACTTAAAGCCACTGAACTGTACACTCAAAAATGGTTAAGATGATAAATTTTATGTTATGTGTATTTTACTATGGTGAAAAATAACTGAAAAAAAAAAGAAAACAAAGGAACAAGGTGTGGGAAGTCAAAGGTGGAGGTAGGGAGGTTAGTTGGGAGACAATGTCAATAATACTGTAATCTTGGACCAATGGGAGACACATGCCATTTTCTTCTTACAGTGTCTTAGCAGTGGGTCTTCAGTACTTCCTCAGTCTCCTCCCTCCCCTGCTAAAAGTTGTAGGTGATGTGTACCTTTGGGTTGAGAGAACATGAGAGATGAGGAGACACCCAGGATTAGAGCTGTGCTCTTATCAGCCAGAAACCAATGCACGGAACATGGGGGTGTGTTAATTAAAAGAGTCTCATTTTAAATTCAGAATCCTATGGGCAGTGAGATGATTATCTGCTAAAACACTGTGCACACAATGGGTGTTCAATTACCTGCTGCTTGTTTTATTCATTGACCTCAATTTGATGATTCTCTATGGATTCTTTGGATTTTGGTTTGCTATGTTAGTGGAAATTAATTTATTTAATATTTTTATGAACTTTAGACTGCATAATACTATCTGCAACATCTCCTTGTTCTTTCAATCCTGTAGACTTAAGAGGTTATGATTTTTAATCTTTCTCTACACGCTAAATTTTCATGTTTGGGGACAGACCAACCAAGGATTGTTCGCTTTTCTTTTTTGGTCTGTGGCTAGTGTTACCTGCAGGCCTAATATCTCAAGGACATGATGTTTGCTGCCCTGTATTCTAGCTCTTCCACCTGAAATGATGTAAGTCATTTATATATTTGCTGGGTTCTTCCAAGTCAGATTCTTGGCTCGCCCCCCATAGTTATTCAATGCTTGGGAAGGAGTGTTTTTCCTTAAGCCAACTAATCAGAAATATAAAGCTGACATGATTTTTCCAGTTCAGCAAACCTCCCAAAATCTGCCTGCCTCAGAAGGGGAACTTCATGGCTCGCGGTACACATGGCCGACTCTCATTTAAAGGACTCAGTATCAGCAGAGCAGGGTTAATTTATAACATCTTGTCTCTCTGTTCTCTACAGAAAGAAGTTGAAGCCCTCCAAGCAAGGATGTCTGTGCTGGAAGCAAAAGATCACCAGCTCAGAAGGGAAATAGAAGCTCAAGAGCAACTCCTTCCATGGCAGGGCTGCGACCTGACTCCCCTGATGGGCAGGCTGTCCCTGGGTGAGCTGCAGGAGGTCAGCAAGGCTGTGCATGACACCCTGGTCTTAGCCAATCAGATTCCCCTCCGTGCAGAACCACCTGAAACCATAAGGAGGTACTGGTGATTTCCTAACTGATTTTGGATTGCTCACCTCTTTGACCTGTTTATGGGATTGATTTTGTCTGCTGTCCCTCATATATAAATATTTTCCAAGCAGTGCTGTATTTTTTCAATGGAAGTACTATCATTATTTTGAGTGAGAAGGTTCTTCATTATGTGGGGCACTCTTGAGCATTGCAAGATATTTTATGTCTTGGCCAACCAACCGACTAAAGACCAGTATTTCTCTCCATTCTAATAGGCACCCTGCCCATTTCCAAACACCCCTTTGAGATCCATTGGGGCTCAGTTGGTTAGAGATTCTGATGCCCACCTTTGCTGAGGATGGTCATCTGGAGAGAGGTGAACTATACCTCTTGCCAAGGAAGGGGAGAAACCATTAAGAGAGGGAGATTCAGTCGATGACAGGGTTTCTACCTGGAAGAAGGAATTCTTGTTAATGATAGCTAACATTTATTGAGTGCTTCCTATGTGCCAGCTCTACTATATGAGTTGCCTCTGTTATTATATCCATTTTACAGATGAGAAAAAGAAAGTTAAAAAGGTTAATAATTTGCTTAAAGTCACAATTAATAAGAGGCAAAACTGATCCTTAAACTCCTGCTCATTAATTCAAAGCATAGTTTCTTAGCCACTTATCATGGAGTGAGACTCTTCCCTGCTTTCTGTGTTGTGGAATATCCACAAAACACACTTCGGCCTCCTGCCCCTCGGGAGATCATAATCTTATTTTGGTGAAATAAAGAGCCCACACTTACACACGTTAGACAGAAAGTGAGTAGCACCCGAATGACTATGCGGATGGGGAGGAAGGATGCAAGTACCGTGGGTGTAGAGCAGTGAGAGGGATTCGCGTTCGGCTCATGTATTATCCGGAGGAAAATACTTCATAAAACTCACCACCTGTGCTGGTTGAGACTGTGGATTCTGCCACCTGATTATCTAGGGTTGAATCCTCACTCAACCACTTGTTAGCTGGGAACCACTTATTATTTGGGAGAGGGATGATGATAATAATGCCTACCTTACAGGGCTGTTCTGCAGATGAACAGAGTTGATACACATAGAGCTCTCATAGCAGTGCCTGGACGGGAGCACACACTTGACTCTCCTTACTGCTTGTCATTTTTGTCACGGGGATTTCAGTCTCCTGAAGGCCTTCAAACTGCCCGTCCAAATGTGTCTTAGACTACTTAGTGAATAGCTGTCCCCTCTTACACATGTGTTACATCTATCCAGCCTATAAAACAAGGCACAGACGGTGTTCTAGGGAGTTGCTGAGGAGTTCCTCCCATTCCCCTCCCAGGCCTAATATTTCCCTGCAGAAATCTAACACCATGGCTCATGCCCATGGTGAAGGGGAAGAGATTTGGAGTGCTGCCAAATTTCAGCCAAAGGAAACTGATCATTGCATCTGCCTTGTGCTCTCCCCCCTGCCCCTTCATATGTGTCCTTATGCTACTGCCTCAGCCTCTGAGGATCTTTCGGGCTCCTGCTCCCTTCTTCTCCTGTGGAAGTCATTCTCTCTCTCTCTATGCATACATATTTATAAGTACATATAATATGTATATTACACATCATATATCATGTAATTATACATACATATAATATATGCATTATGTTATACATTATATGCATATATGTAATGTGTATAATATATAAGATGAAATATACATGTAAATTTATTTTTATAAATGCATATATTTACATATGAGGCTTAAAATGAGGCTTTTGTGGTCTCACCATCCAGATGTGTCCTACTTATTTCTCCTTTTGCTTTTAACAGCAGAGGATTGTTATACTCCCCTCATCTCTCCACAGGCTGATGGCTCTTTGAAGGAAAAACCTAGGGCATGCTTAACTGAGAATCGACTGCAGTATTTAACAAAGCCTCTATGTTTCGAGCTGGATTTGTGGGAAATGTCCCTGCAGGTGTGCCCTGTACCTGTACAGAGACGTGCAGGTTGCAGAGTGAGTGCTTTCTCACACGCTGAGTCATGGTGTTCGGAGCAGCCGGTGCGGGAGGCAGGCTCTTCTTGTTATCCTCATCTGAGAGATGAAGAAACAAGAACTCAGAGGTTTCCCTGGTGACGCTGCTAGTAAGAGAACTTCTTATGCACATCTGTAGCTGCCTTTGGGTCTGAACCAATAAAAGCTAGTTTCTGCCTGGAGATCCAAGGAAGTTATTTCTCTTAGTCTAAAACAAAGAACTCCATAGTGTGGTTGGCTGATAGAGCTGGGCCCTGAACTTGGGTCTTATTATTCTAGTCTATTATTCTGCCCGTGTGTTCCAACTTGCCTTTTCATCAGGATGAGATGCAGACAGGCAGTAAAAGTGTGACTTTTTCCCTGTAATCCAGTGCTCTAATCAATGGACTGAGCTTTTGAAAGACTTTTCAAAGTTTGTGGCCATCTGATTTTATGATGCTGTTGGGGAAATTGGACATGAAGATGGCTCTTGGGCACAGCACAGTGCTGTTTGGGGGCTCCTTGGGGGAGATCCATCATCCCCAAATCCAATTGCTCCCACTGAGGTTACAGAGTTCAGGTCAAGAGCAGGCTCTCATGTTTTGTGCTGAGATGACCTTGGGAAAACCTGGGTGTCTCAATGACTCAGAACTCCTGGGGCCCTGTGTGGGAGGAAATCTTAGGAATGTAAGGACTGAGAGTTGCATGGGGAGGGTGGAAGGAGGAAGGAAAATACAGGAGTGGTTCAACGATAAAAAGAAACACTGGCAATTGGATGGCTAGTTTATAGTGTGGCCTTGCCTTGTGGTGAGGTCATTGTGGGTGCAATCAGCGTGTGACGCTCTTTGTGAGCAGAGCTGGGAGGCTCTTGTGCTGCTGGAGAGCGACCACCTTGAGACATCCTCATGATCTGGGTGACCTTGCAAGCGGCAACCCTTGGCATCTTCTTTATTTACTTGCTGGTGCAGGGAGGCAGCTCCCTGCCTTGGGCAGTTTGGGATGTGTAGGTGCAGGTTATGAGTGGTCAGCTTCCTTTCTTCTACCTGGGAGTTGAGGCATCGTGCATTCCCTGCCATAAATATAAATTGGAAAAACCATCCTTGTTATGTGGCCTTTCCATTTAAGAAGGAGGACACACCTTTTCCAAGCTGACAGACTGCAGCACAGACTCCCAGAAACAGAGCATTTGAAAGAAGCCGACGTGGAGTCTTAGGGCTCAACAGATCAGAGATTGCTTGGTCTGGTATTTTTAACTAATTGTACATGATCATGTTAACTTAGTTTTTGATATGAGGTATTGGTTGTCTTTTAGAAAATGCTGACTTGGGGTGTATATCCCATAAGTGCCCCAGCCAGAAGAATGCATCTTATATACATCAATAACTGTCTTTGTTGTTAGGTCAGGTGGAGAGATCTAGACAAATTGTGAAACAGGAAAATCTTAAAGTCTTATGGACAGTGGTTGCAGAGACTAGTATTGTTACAAAAATCTGGAGAAACAGACTGCTCAACATCGTAACTATTATTATCATCATCTATAGAGATTTTTCATAGAGGCCAGTTATAAACTCAGGGTGCTGTCTGGGGAGAAGCTGCTTCTGATTTACTCAACTCAATAACGTGTAAGTTCAAAGGGAAGGCTATGCTTCTTTCCCAAGGCAAATCACACGTTGAGTTTGAAAAGGAACTTCCTAATAGGACTTGGCATTTCTGGGCAAATCACTGGTGCAGACTCTGTACTTGCCTGGGTGCCATCATTTCTGACCATAGCTTGTTGGGAATTCTCTGGCTGATATTAGACCGGGGCTGGAGGTAGAAGGGCCTGTGTGGGGACAAGAGACCCAGTGGCTCTTTACTTGGATATTATAAGAGAAATCAAAGCAGTGGTTTGAATTTTCAAATTTGGATCAAATATCTTAGCAGGGTGGAATGAAGAGGTGCCTTCTCAGAGACATCATAGCTGCCTTTTGATTAGAGCCAACAAGAATGGTTTTCTTCCACTGAACAAGAGGAGAATATTTTTAAGCACCTGGGGAATCAGGAACTCCACAGCGTGGAAGCTGACAGAGCAGGGATTTGCGATGGACAGGAGCCACTTGAAAGAGATGTTCATTTGAATTTCCCTTATCCCTAGGATTCCAATCCCTCGTCTTTAAAACAAACTCCTGGTTTTCTCCTGCAAGTCTTCCTTCGATGGAAGAGATCTAGAAGGATGGCTTTCATCCAGTGAGCTTGGTTCTCCCCCAACATTAACCGATCCTTCTCCTTCCATCCCACACGGACTCCACTCCCATTCTCAGTAATGGGATTGGAGTGTGGAGGTGAAGAGGGGAAGGATGGGGACACAGGGAGGAAAGAGGTGACAGTTTCTGGGGTTTTCTGTGGGCCATATCCCTGCATGTGGGGCATGAGATTTCATCTGTTAATTTGGTGTAAGACGAGGAGGGGAGTGATTTGTAGCTCATCTCTCTCCAGTGCCATTAGCTCATCTCCCCCAGCTGTGTACCTTGAACATCAGCAGAGGGCTGGGCTGTGACCGTGTCCAGCATGTGTGGCTAACTGTAAAGTGAAGTAGGAATAATCACGGTAATAACAACAGTGATGATGTGAGGGCTACGCACGATACTTTCCAACATTCTTTAGAACCACTTGACTGGTTTGTATTAGTCTGTGGTTGAGTTCTTCATTCCTCAGCTCCTGGAATTTTTCATGCTTTGTGTGAAATGTGTTCTGGCAGCTCATGGATGAATTGTCGCTTGTTGTGCATTTGGAAGAAACATGTCACATCTTTTTACAAACCACTGGCACAAACTGTGAAACAAACTCAACCGTTGCTTACAGTAAGGCTGGCTGGATCTTGGTTTGTGCATCTGGGACCTCGGTCAGCATGCCTGGGCTGCTGTGGGGGGCAGTGGGCGGCAAGCCAGGGCCGCTCCCCTCTCCCTGTTAGCTTAACTGCCCAGGGCTCCCCAGCAAGGGTGGCTGACTGTTCAGGGCACTCAGTCCACAATGAGCAGTCCAGGCTG